GTTAATGGGTCATTGATTGGTACAGGGGAACAGTTAATGGGTCATTGATTGGTACAGGGGAACAGGTAATGGTACAGGTGCACCCACTGACATGTCTTCTGCATTAACAGGTGCCAACAGTTACCACTGATGACTTTGTGAACTTTGCTACTGATAAACCAGAGAAGAAATCCAGAGTTATTAACCTCTCCCAGTATGGACCCACTTACTTTGGACCAGAACATGCTCAGGTTTGTTTATGAATCAGATGCTGTGTAGTTATGGTAAAAATAAAAATGATCATGTAAACAGTCAGAAGTTTTGTTCTCTTGTCATCTATACTTTGTGATTGTAATAAAAAAAAAATGCTCTTCTTTATTTCTGTGTGTTTGTGTGTTTGTGTGTGTGTGCGTGCGTGCGTGCGTGCGTGCGTGCGTGCGTGCGTGCGTGCGTGCGTGCGTGTGTGTGTGTAGGTTATGTCCAGTCATCTGATGCACTCCAGCCTTCCAGGACTGACCAGGCTGGAGCAGATGTTCCTGGTTGCTTTAGCAGACACCATCGCAACCACCAGTGCTGAGGTCACCAGCTCCACCGATCAGCAGTACACAGGTTGGTACAAACTGAAACCGGTAATCCATGCTGAGTTTAGACTTTTTTCACCCATTATCTTCCTTGTGTTATTGTTAGCTGTATCTTTAGAGACAAGTTGTAAATATAGTATCTCTCGCACTGCTTGGACTGAAATAAATCCGAGGACCGTTCTCTTTTCAGTAGCTTTCCTTCATTTCTGCTGCAGAAAACAGACTGTGTGTCCTTGATGCTCACATCTGGCTCAGATGATGGTGACAGAAGAGAGAGTCAGGAAAATATGAGTTTATTACAGCTGGTAATGTCAAACAAGACCACAACRGAATTGATCAGCCCTAATTTATTTATAACACCTGAAACGTGATTTTAATGTTTGTTTTTTACTATATTTTATTGATTAAAAACTGAGTTAATGTTTATAAAAAACTGTCAGAGGTTTGTGTCTTGTGACAGATAAAAAGCAGATTTATTTAATGTGGTTTGCCTCTGCAGACCTGTGTTTTATCATCATGTTAGCATGCTAGTTAGCGTCTGTGTTTACATTATAAATAACCTCTGTAACCTTTGGAAGAGATAACTCTTAAAAGTTGTCTAAAGGTTGTAAACATGAAGACAAACATTCATTTTCTTGATTGTGTGTTCCTTCATTTATTTCATTTCCAGCTATCAAATCTTTAATGAGAAAAACAASCGACAGAAGCCGTTCCTCCACACTTCTTATTATCGCAGCTTCTTTCTCTCCTTTTCCAGCGTATTTATTTAGTCTTGTGGGAGGAGGACATAAGCAGGTTGTTCCAGGGCAGAGTCAGCACAGCYGGGGGTTCAGGGCCAGCAGAGTCATGCAGCAGGCTTTTTATTTAAATGTCAGGTGGTTTGCTAAGAGCTGACTTCCTGGTGTGTGTTCAGGTGGCGAGGCTCTGGATGAGTGTGGACTGAGGTACCTGCTCGCCATGCGGCTGCACACCTGCCTGCTCACCTCTCTGCCCCCGCTGTACCGCATGCAGCTGCTGCACCAGGGTAAGAAGACACAGYCTGGGCAACATGGAGTCAACATGGCTGCCACTGCTTATTGTTAACCATCAGTGTGGGTCAGGAGATATTTTGCTAACACTGCAGACAAACAAACATGGGTAAAATCATACATCACTTTTAGAGGCAAATAAATAAAAAAAACAAGTGTTTGCTCTAAAAGTCATTAGCAGGAGTAACTAGTTGTTTATCTAATGGCCACTGACAGGTTCATTTATTTCTATAAATAAAAATGTTTTGTGGATTAAACCGGGACATCCTGTTGGGTCGGCCTGTGCCACAGGGCTCTCTACGTGCCACTTTGCCTGGGCCTTCCACTCCGAGGCAGAGGAGGAGCTTCTGAACATGATTCCTGCCATGCAGAGAGGCGACGCCCAGTGGTCCGACCTCAGAGCCGTGGGGGTGGGCTGGTGGATCCGCAACATCAACACGCTGCGCAAAATGGTGGACAAGGTACCGGAGTCATGTTTAGTCCTTCTGATAAGAGCATCATCATCATCATCATCATCATCATCATCATCATCATCATCATCATCATCATCATCATCATTTATGTTGTTGTGTTGTCAGGGTTTAGGTTTGATGCAGAACTTATTGATCTCTGCGTACAGCTGTGAAAAAAAAACACCTGTCTTTAATTCTAGGGGTTTTATACCATTTTAGCATTTAGCTAACCTTTTGCTACTTTTTGCTACTGATCTTTATCTTCTGCTGAATTCAGCTGTCCTTCAGCCCTAATCGTTAATAGAATAGAATAGAATAGAAACAGCCTTTATTGTCCTTCACAGGGAAATCCAGGTGTAGCAGCAGCAGAAACACATCAATCCACAGAAACAGTAAATTGCTGTGTGACATTATCAACTGGAGCAATGATAATAGAAATTAAAGACAGTAACAGTAAAAAAACAAACATAGATCAAAATAAAAGTAAGAATAATAATTACTGTAACGGGCTATCAAGATGAAACTGGATAAAATGAAAATAAGTCAAGATACACTACAGAAAGATATAAATTACAGGAAAAAGCAGTCATGACAGACTAATGATCCGACGGGGTGCAAAGTGAGTCATACTCCGTCATTAAGTCCAGTACAGGAAACAACAATGTACAGTTCTACTGGTTATTATTTATTAATGTTACATTCCTCTGATTTTTTTAAATGACACTTGTGAAAACATTTTAGTATTTCAGAAAGAAAGCCGTGTTTTATTCCTAACTAGAAGCTGTTGAGTTGTTGGGTTATTTTCTGTCAGTGCTGTTGTTTCTCTTGTGTTTGAAGTGTTTTATGAACTGCTGTGTTGTGATTTAATCAGCTGGGTAAAGCTGCGTTCCAGAGGAACAACGACCCCTTAGATGCTGCTCTCTTCTACTTGGCCATGAAGAAGAAGGCCGTCCTGTGGGGACTCTTCAGGTTGTCTCTAAATACTATAATATCCTGATGAATTGGTTTATTTTCAGTTTATTTCTGAACCCCTCTGAGACTTGAAGGAGTCTGTTATTTTTGAAATGTTTCAGGTCTCAGCATGATGAGAAGATGACTCAGTTCTTTAAGAATAACTTTAGTGAGGACCGCTGGAGGAAGGCGGCTCTGAAAAATGCCTTTTCCCTGCTGGGAAAGCAGCGCTTTGAGCAGGCTGCTGCTTTCTTCCTGTTGGCTGGTTCCCTTAAAGACGCCATAGAGGTGTGAGCAACACACACACACACACACACACACACACACACACACACACACACACACACACACACACACACCTTATTACCTTTGAGTCCTGCATGCTGTTTTCATGACTGAAGGCAATGAAAGTTAAACCTCGACATGAGTTATAGTTTTAATATCTGCAGCCTTTGAATAACCAGAGACAATCTGAAATTACTCTGATAAAATTCAGAACAATCTCTCATATTTTTCCTTGGCCTGAGCTTTCCAACGTCACAGACAAAATATTCAGATAAGAAACACAAGTCTGAGTTTTCTTTGTTGTAACTGCGTCTACATTTAAATGTATTTTTCCTTTTCAATCTCAGATTATTTACATCGTGTCAGTTCAGAACATTTGAAGACAAAACAGAAAATAAACACGTCTAATTCAGTCCCATTCAATTAAATCAAACTCATTCTGTTCTAAACAGATATAATCCAGTTAATTTAGCTTACCTACAACATAATCCCATGTGTTTTCAAACGTTTGTTAAACCCTGTGAACTGAGCTTGTCTTTGTGTTTAATATTTCTGTAACATTTATAATAAAGTCTAAACTGCAGTGCTGTCTTCATGTTCAGGTTCTGATGGAAAAGATGGAGGATCTCCAGCTGGCCATGATTGTAGCTCGACTGTACGAAGCGGACTTTGAGAAGTCGCCCACCTGCCAAGGCCTCCTTTATGAGAAGGTTCTGGGCTGCAACAGGGACGGCAGCGGTTACCACTGTTCCAGACTGCACCCCGACCCGTTCCTGCGCAGCATCGCCTACTGGATCATGAAGGATTACACCCGAGCCCTGGACACCCTGTTGGAAAGGAACCCTAAAGAGGACGAGAATCCTGGTGAGTAAAAGACATAAATGCAAATAAAGAGAGGTTCAGCTCGACCCTTCTCTTCTTTACCCTCTTTTATCTTGTTCACTAGATGTGATGGTGAAGTCCTGCAACCCCGTGGTGTTTAGCTTCTATAACTACTTAAGAACACATCCTTTAATCATTCGGCGCCACTTTGCTAATCCAGAGGGTCCAGCAACAAGTGTGGGCCTGACCGCAGAGAAAAACAGCGCCGATGAGATCAACCTCATCGAGCGCAAACTCTTCTTCACTACTGCCAACGCACACTTCAAGGTACGCTCTTTAATCCAGTTTAATCTGAGGTTAGATGATGTTAACCCTCTTTAATCCAGTTTAATCTGAGGCTAGATGATGTTAACCCTCTTTAATCCAGTTTAATCTGAGGTTAGATGATGCTAACCTTCTTTAATCCAGTTTAATCTGAGGTTAGATTATGTTAACCCTCTTTAATCCAGTTTAATCTTAGGTTAGATGATGCTAACTTTCTTTAATCCAGTTTAATCTGAGGTTAGATGATGCTAACCCTCTTTAATCCAGTTTAATCTGAGGCTAGATGATGTTAACCCTCTTTAATCCAGTTTAATCTGAGGTTAGATGATGCTAACCTTGTTTAATC